ATGGTTCGAGTTCTTCCTTAGGGTGTGCTTGATGGAACCGTCCGATATAGCTTGCTTTCGGGTGCTTAGTGTCTAGTGGAAGACAAACGCCTCCGAAGATGTGTTATTTCGGACGGTTCTACCACAATAAGTGTAGTATCAAATATGCATGGGGCAAGGAGAAATGAGAGAAATAAACCTTAGATAAAAGTAGTTTTCTAAATGAAATAAAAGAATCCCTTCACCCCCACGCGTCGCTCCCTGTGGGTGGCTCGGGTGGACCCCAACGCCACTGCCGAAGCTCCATCCCTACACCTCCGCTAGCCTCGCCGCCGCTCGAACACGCCGCTTGAAAGGTCGTGCGGTCGCAAGGACAACGGCGGCGGGGCCCTTTCCCTCTTCGGCTCTTCCCTTCCTTCCTCCTCGGTTTCCCTCTCCTCTCCTTGGCGTAGCCATTGGCTGAGGTGTTGTAGGTCGGTGGTTTTTCGGTCATTGGGGCTAGTGGCGGCTGGATCTGTGGCCTCCATGCCCGGATCCGGTGTCCTTCGCCGGTCTTGATGCTCTACCTGGCAGATCGACTCGGGGGTGGTTGCGGCATGGTCATGGCAGGTGTGGGTCGGCTATGGCCGGATCTACGCCGGCTAGCCTTTTTTTGCTGGTGTGGGACATGGTGGGTGCCCGCACGTTGCCTTCGGCGCCCTGCAGTCCGTCGACGACTACGGCTCTGGCCGGGGGCCATGAACGGCGTTGGTGGTGGGGACTACGGGCGCTTGGCGCTCCCTTTCTGGCACCCAGCGTCTTCCTCATCTAGTCCAGTGAATGTGGTCTGGCCTAGATGCACAGAGAGCCGGTGGGCAGGCGTGATGGTGGCAGTTCGGCGCGGAGGCTGCTGGAGGTGTTGTGCGGCGTCGTTGTTGTGGGGCTGGATCGGCGGGGGTGGGGACGTTGGTGGGCTGGGCGACTGGGGCTTCTTCTGATCCTAGCCCTCTTCTCCCCGCCATTTGCCTTTCCCCTTCCCCGGGCTAGCTTTCGTGGAGGAGCTGAATGTTTTCGCCTGCTGCAAGCCGGCTTTGCCGGTTGCGGCGGGGGTGCAGATTTTCCGACGGGTTCCCCGACGCTTCTCCTGGATGGTGTCCCTAGGGGCATCGGCTTGGCGAGGCTACTACTGATTCTTTGTCGTACCCTACCTCCCTGGTAGGGTTGAACCTCCGGCGTCGACGGTGTGGAGGTTGTATGAGGTCGGGGCGAAAGCTTGGACGACGACGTTTGCGGACGTCGTTCCCTTCTTGGAGGAGTCCTTTCCTAACTCTCCTCCTACCGTACTGGATGTTGTAGGTGAAAACCTTCCCTAGACGGGCTACCTTGTCGGCACTTTTAGCGTCGTTTCCTCCATGGAGGCATTGCTAGGCTTTCCAGCCCCGTGGTTTGCTCCTTGCCGTCTGGCCATGGTGGTGCCCCAAGCTGTGCTGTTTGATGTTGCCCGGCAGGATGTCATTTTCTTCGGTCCTTATTAGTTGCTAGTCGAGTTGTTAGTTGGGTCATTTTTTGACCAAGTTGGATCAAGTAGTCGTGAGTTGTGTTAGTTGCCCAGTTGTTGTACCAAAGTTGTTAGGATGAGTGGTGCACTCTCCTCAGTTGTATAGTTTTTAGGTCCAGTTTCCATTCAAAAAACTAGGCGGGCACTTGCCTTTTTTATTTCTTCGTCTAATAGAAGTCGCGACAAAACTTTTGTCGTCCTTTCTAAAAATAAAATAAAAGAATGACTTCTGAGTTGGGTTTTATAAACCTACAACTTTTTATGCTTTTAGCTAACCTAGTCGTCTTTACTGACCCACGTGTTAGCCACACTAGTTCGCATGGATTCAAACATATCTTGTGTGGCTAGCTATAAAGGTCCTAAAGGATAGGTAAATGTAGTTTACGCAGGAATAGAAAACGGAGGAACGGAGAAAACAGGAATCAAATAGAGTGAAAAGTAAAAAACTATCGGATTCAAAATGTAGGAATAGAAAACTTAGGCTTGTTTGGAACACATGAACAAAAATAGAGGAATGAGAATGTTAGGATGAAGATAACACTATTAGTAACTAGATTAGCACTGATCATTACACTCAAACTGAATCAATAGTGTCATGGAACCTTTTAATGACTCATTGAATGTCTAAATTAACTTATCCATGCCTGGACATGACTCTTCCTGAAGTAGATAACTTTTGGCAGGCATCAGTTAGCTAGTCGGCTTATTATCGGCGCACTAAGCAAGGCGTGGGAAATTTTCCTTTAGCTCAGACCTCACGTTTTCTTTCCTGCATTTCGTACAGGAAAGCTCACCGTTCCTTAGGAAAGGAAACCGCCAATCCTCAAATCCAAACAACAAGATTTGAAAATACTACACAGAAATAGATTATTTTAGAATTCCTTTGATTTCCTTTGATCTGAACAACCCCTTATAGTTTACATAGAAAGTTGTGGTTTTCGTAAACTTTAAAATGCAACAGTGACGATTAGTGTTGAATTTTCACATGCTCTGCGTCCAGGCCCCATTGTTCTCGAACCCGTTTGAATCTCGACATCATTTCTTTTCTTTTTTTCTTTTCTTTTTTTGCGTTCCTTTACCCTGCCTAGAAGGTTAACCCGTACTATGTACGTTCTGTTTTACTAAAATTTTCGGATCTCTAGAGGGAAATGTTTCCACCTCTGGAGGGACCACATTTATAAAAGTGATGGATCAAGTAGTTCTTTGGATGCTGTAGGTTCATGCACCAATTATTGTTCTCGAATCTCGAACTCCTTTGATCTCATCAGCATTTCTGTTTTCTGCGTTTGAAGCCGGAGGATTAGACCAAGATCGTCATTGCCCTGCCTAGAGGGGTGGTATTAACACATGTACGTAGGTCAATCTGATAATACTTCTCGTGTTCTTTAAGTCCGTGACCTTGTCTGGAGGGAAACGGACTTTGTTGCCGCAACGACGACTCCTTCGGCCTGTTCGTTTCGGCTGAATTGACTTATAAGTTACGACTAAAAGTACTGCTAACTGGTTTGGTGTGAGAGAAAAATATTGTTCAAGTCGTGGATTATAAGCTAGATACGAGTGAATAAGCCGAAACGAACAGGCTGCTTATATCGGTGCTTCTGTTCCATTCCCTGTCTAAAATGTCTTGCTTGTTTATGCAATCATGCCTTCATCATATGCGTGCTCTGTTCGGCAGATAGTTTCTGCGAGCTGATAAACCGGCTGAAGCTAATTTATTATGATATAGAAAAATAATGTTCATGATTAATAAGTCAGGTTGATAAGTTGAAGCAAACATGATGCAAACTTTGGCCTGGGTGGATGCACTGTTGCTGGCGCTTATCCGACGGCGATCGATGGTCACTAGCATTTCGGCATTTCCATCCCGAAAAGCATGTAACGTCCCAGCGCCACACCAATGAGTTCGAAAACAAAACCCTGCCCAACTCTTTGAACGAACCTGATATGTACAGGAGCCATCATCTCGCCGAACAAAATGATCATAGCAAGGCACGGCGCCCGCCTGCGCCTAGCATGCGACAGCACCACGCGCACATGGAGGTTGCCCGCTGCGGCGGCGCTCGGCAGCAAGCAAGCAAGCACTCGTGTGGCCGGCGCCACGCGCGCTCGGCGGCGGCGTCGCACGTGTCCGCCCCCGGCACCGATCGGGTTGCCTCCGGCGCAGGCCGTTTGCGGGCGCTTTTGGCGATCATCCATGTCCCGGTTGGACCGGGTCGGTCGCGCTCGACTGCTCGTCCCTCCTGCCCCGACATCTTGGAACTCTGTGCTCTGTGCTCTGCTCCCAAGTCAGAGGACGAGTCGGTCCGATCTGCTCGTCTGCCACTCTGCCCTCCAGGCGCGGCAAGCATTTACAGTACGTACGTGTTGCCGGTACGTACGTTTCTGCAGCGGTTATTTCTGTTGGGTTCCGTGTCATGAACCGGCGGGCGGCAGGTGCCGAGTCCATGTCCGCGCAGCGATCAGGTCCAAGCTGGTTAGAGGAGTGTTTTTTCTTTCTTAAAAAAATTGTACTGGTAGTGGTAGCGTTGTATGGCTGACCCGGTAGTACTGTACTGCACGAGTGAGTTGCCTGGTTTTTCTGAGTTGAGGATTTGCAGCGATTCATACGGATGATGATAGAGCGGAGATTTCTATGTCATCTCATCTCCAAAGTTCAACGGGCAAGTGACGAGCAGCTAAACAAGTCTCATCTCTGTAGTACAGTAATTGTTATTGTGCGCGGTGGCTAACTGATTCCGGGTGAAGCAACAGTAACAGTAACAAAATTCAGCGAGGAACAGGGCCTGCGCGGTTTAACTGTTCCGGTAACAGTAATACAGTTTGTTTAGGTAAGGTGTTGCTCTGCCTAACCAACAAACCAGCACAAGAACGAGAGAGAGAGCAGGTGAGCGACGCTAGCCTAGCTGTGCTCGTGCCGTTCTTGTGCCAAATTGCCGCCCACCGTATTCCCGTGGCAAGCCTACGAGCCCACGGAATGGAAGCCTCCACACCCTGCCCGCCCGCCCGCCGACCCGGCTGGCACGGGGGCCGCGTGACGGCAAGAGCGGCATGACGGCGGACGCGACGGCCGGCGCCACCCGCACTCAAGTACTCAACGACGAGCCCCCGTGCTTATCCAGACGGACGCGGACCCAACAACAGCCGGAGAGATAACAGAGGAGGACAAGGGGGTTGATCCGGACAGAATCATGAGTGGCCTCCACAGTTGGGGCAAAATCCAGTTGTCTCCATTCCTCGGTCATGTTTATCCATTCAAGAAATTCATCCAAAGCGGGTACTCGCAGCTCGTCGGCTGGAATTCTTTGTACACAAGAAAGCCTTTTGCCTGGATGAGGATCCATCCATGGATCAGGCTCCCAAAACTAGTCCTGATCCACTGCCAGCGCTCCAAGCTCCCAGCTGTTCTGTTCTTACTCCTGACTCACTTTCAGCGTTACTGCTATAGTTACTAGTGCTAGTTCTACGATGGCATGTCGGCGAAGGTCTATTGGTGGTGGCCATTGTCGCCGGGGCGGTCGCCGGCGAAGGAGACGGCGGAGAGGCGGCTGGGGCGGGGCCGGGCGCTGCCGACGCGGCGGCGGTGCTGCGACTGCTGCGCGGCGGGGGAGGGGCGGGCGGTGGCCGCGAGCGCGCGGCGCGCGCACTCGCCGCCCTCCACGGCGCCCATCCGCCTGCCCGCGCCTGCGACCAGCCGGCTCGTGGTCGGGGAGGCCGCGGACGACGGCGGGGAGCTCGGCTTGCCGTGCCTGTGCGAGCCGTGGGGCCCCGCCGCCGCCGCCGGCTTGACGCGCTCCTTGTGCAGGCTGCAGCGGAAGGAGCCCGGGTGGTTGGTCGGCGAGCACATGCAGGTCCGGCGGCCCCGCGACGACGACGACGAGACGCTGACGGTGACGGACTGCCCGGCCGGTGGCCGCGCGCGGGCGCGGGCGCCGGCGCCGGCGAGCGAGACGCGCGTGGACGAGGCGGAGCGGTAGTGCGCGGCCGAGAGGACCGGGCCGCTCGGCCTCCCTGTGGTCGCTGCAGTCGCCATGACAGATCACAGGTAGGCAGGCGAGCCAAGCGAACAGGGCGCTGGTCTGCTGGTGGTTTCGTTTGGGCAAACTGAGGGGCGAGCGGGGCAGAGGCTATTTAAAAGGGTTGGTTGGGGGCAGTTTGGTAACTCCAGCCTGTGGTTTGGGCTTAGCTTTGGGTTAGGTTGAGCTAACCGTGGTTAGGAGCTGCGAAAGCGGTGGGCGGGCCGGTGGGACCCGCCGGCAGCACACCGGAAAGCTAGCTTTGCCCTGGTCCCGGGCATTCGATCGATGTAGGGTAACGACCACTATGGTTTTTCTCTCGCAGATTCTTTGCGTTCTCTGCGTTTTTTGTTTTGGTTTTCAAGATATAGGCGGGGTCTGAAATGTGCGTTCTAAACTAGTGGCTACATAAGTAACATTTTGTTTTCTATACAGAAAATGAACGCATACGGGTCAATCTTCTCAGGTTACATTTAGGTGATGTCTGAAAGTCATGTAGCGCAGTAATCCGTTTGAGAAGAAGAAACGGTCCATTTGGAAACCGTACTGTTTTGGGATTATTTATGCGTGCGCATGTGGGTGTTTCAGCTTGGATTTCACTCTGCCAAGCCTCCGCGTTCCAGTGTGCAGAGCCCACCGGTTCTTCGTCCCAAAATTCCAATGCCAAGCTTTGTTTCCGGAGGGAGCACACAGAAAGGTGATGAGAACGAGATGTTTGTGCCGAAAGCAACCGAGAACAACGTTAGCATGGGCAGGCTGGCAAGCTCTGATCCGAATCCGACGTGACGCGCGAGCGACCGACCGACCGAGCAGGAGAGGAGACGTCTGGTCCGGGCCCCGCGGCTGCATCGACGACGGATTCCGCCGCCCATAGGATTCACCCCGATTCCGCTTGTGTGCTGAGCGGACCTTGTTGGCTCGGCTGGTCCGGCCGGCCACTCCCACTGGCCCGCCGAGCGCCGGGCGATGGTATTGGTAGCAGCATCCGTCGCCGCCATGACGGCGAAGCTAGCCAGCTTTTGGCTGGAGAAAGGTGAGGCGTTGCTGTATGCGCAACAGGCGGCTGTGTGGAATGGATGGAGTCCATGTGAAGGAAGCGTGGCGCTCGCTTTCGGCGACAGGCGCCACACAACAGAACACAGGCGTCGCATGATCGCTAGCTCCTGGGCTCCTGGCTGGGGCTGGCTTTGCGCAGACACATTTGTGATGATGGTAGGTACGTGGTGTCTGGGTCGCTTGTCCGGCGACGTGCGCGTCTCTGTCTGTGTGTTTCCTTTCCTCTTGGCTAATCCTTTCGGTTTGTAATAATCCATCGTATCGTTTCTCTTTGCCGACTGTACTGTAACACGCTCTGTTGATCCTCGCCAGCACCACCACCAATACCTGTGGGTATAGGGTATGGCAACAACACGCGCGTCGCTAGCGGGCGGGCCACGCCGGCACAGCACGGAACGCGCGAGGCGACGATGACGACGGAGAGCACATGCACCCATGACGGCGCGCGCGGACGGACGCAGGCCCGCGCGTAACGGCTCCGCATCGCGCGCGGCGGGCGTGGCAGAACGGGACAACGGCGCGGTGGCGGCCAGCCGTGGGCGCGCCGGAGCACAGGCCAGTCGAGGACAGCGCAGCATGGGCACTGCCACTGCTGCCTAGTAGGAGTATTTTACTGTTCGCCTGCAGCAGGTTTGCCGTTTGGATTTGGGACCCCTCTCGTGCCCAATTATCGTTAGCTGCTAGCTGCTGCACCAGGCCTGCAACTGATCCTGCATTCTGGGCGAGTCCGGCTTCGCCGGTTCCTGTACAGGAGTCCGCGTGGACTGCCGTTCCATCGTCTCGGGGAGGCTGTGGATCCGCAATCATAGCATGTTCGGTTGGCTGGTTCGTATCGTTGCTGGTTTATTTATGTGAGAGAGAAGTACTGCTGGCTGGTTCATGTGAATAGTATCTATGTGAGGGGCAGGGCCGGCTCTAGAATTTTAAGGGCCCTTGGGCAAGCAAGACGATAAGGACCCATTGAACTATGTAAAGACCAAATAATAAAAGTTAATTTGCAGCATATAGTTAGTTTGTATAAAAGATAACGATAGTATAACAAGAAAATTAAAAGAACAATAATTGTTATGATTACCTCAAATTAAAATATAATGCTTCAGTGCCTTGTAAAAAACCGTCTTTAGCTATTTATTGATGCAAAATCTTTAAGAACAATATAAAGATTAATGTGGTTCAAAACATTCTTCCCAATATTTTAGTTTTCTGAGCGCCCGACAAATGCTTCTTAGGCAGCATCTAATAAGTATATAAATAAATACATTGAATTAGAACTTTATAACCCTACCTCTGTACAAGTAAAGCGCATACACAACAAATAAGAAAAAATAGGCTTCAATACGGTAATGTTCCTGGCGCTAGCTTCCAGAGGCCCAAGTAAAAAAATTGGAAATTGGAAAATACTAATCGGTCATGGGTATTAGCATGTTGGGGTTGCTTACTATGATCGCATCTGCTGTTCGCCGTCCTTGCATGCAGTTGCAGCTCGCGCCGTCGCGGCACCACGGTGGTGTGCCGGTGTGCGGTGCGTCGGCGAGTCGGCGACCACGTCGGGTGAGTCGGCGTCTCCACGCAAGAATAGCGCGTCCGCGTCGATGAGCAAGAACAGGAAGTGCCGGCGCCGGCGGAAAACGAACGCTAGCTCCTCACTCGATCCGCGACCTGCGCGGCAGAATAGAAATATGTAGGTATGGTACGGCATGGGTTGATGTTTGTTCGGCCTTTGAAAGCTTATGCCAAATAAAAAATTATATCTACTAATTAACTATATGCTCTTGGGCCCCCTAGCTCCTTGGGCCCCCGGCGGTCGCACCGGCTGCCCTCCCCCTAGAGCCGGGCCTGGTGAGGGGGCTGGCCAGCCCAGCCAGCCCCAGCCGATCACACTGCCCATGCGCGCCCCTGCGCGCGTAGGTAAACATAATAAAGTACTACCATGTAAGTCGGCCTAAACTTGGTAACTAAAGGCATTTAATTGTTCTAGTCCCAGCCAAAAGAGTAGAAATTTAATCCCTTAATCCCATAAACAAATAATACAGGGTACACAAGTAGAGCACTGAGAAATGTGAGCAAATTATGACCTCTGTTCCTAATAGCGTTCAGGTACTTGTTGCTAACGATCTGTTAGCTGTTGAATAACGAAATCTACCCAGTTTAAAAAAAAGAATAACAGGGAAACAATACATGTGCGCTGCTAAATCAAATGACCATAGAGCCAGAAGCATGTACTGGTAGATTAAGCCATGAATCAAACAAGGAACATGGGCGCAGGAAAACAAAAGAAGGAATATTAATGAAAGGAAAATGGCTAAGGAAGCCTAGAAGTAGGGAACAAAATGAAAAAGAATACCAGCAAAAAAGATGAGGTTGTCAACGTTTTTTTACAGACTATCTGCGCGATCGGCTGGTACGGTGTTGGATTGTTTCAGCTTATTCTCTCTCACAGAATACTATTTAATCATCCAAAATCAGCTGAGCTACAGTGCTCTCTCTCACAGAATAAATTAATAGATCGGCATTCAATTGATATTATGTACCTAGGAGCAAATCTAGTGACCATAGTCAATCAGTTGATCTAACTCTGCCAGTATAATAAAAGGGGACACATATAACCATATATAACCATCTAACTTTAGGATTCACTAATTAGTATTTAATCTTATAATTGCTATATCTTGTTCACATAAGCATTAAGTGACAAACCTGTAGATGTTCATGCTTTTTGGCAACAGGAATGGACACTTTCCAAGCGTAGACCTTGGAAAGTAAACTGTGAAAAGCAAAAAAAAAAAGAAGAAAAAAAGTTCAATAGAACAGAGTGGAAAACTGAGGCAGAATCACGACTGTCATCGGCATAAATCTCAACTAAATCATGCATTCATATCGGCAGCTAAATTTGCTCGCAGTAAGTCTACGCTAGGAGTATGCTGGGTAGCTTTGAGCAGCACCATAAACGAGCTGCAGCAAAAGCTACACTTTAAGCAGACTACGTTCTGAAACTGTACCCGCATGTAAGCAGCACCTACTAAACCCAATCTAATTGGCAAAGAGAAGAGGCAACAGTATGGCAGCGGACAAATGCACTATAAATCACAAACAAAAATCTGGGAAAAAATTAATTAGCACCTAGTAGCCCACCAATACCACAGAGGCTCATCTGTTGGTGCATACAGAAAAATATATGAGTTTAAATTGCATCTGTCAGAAATTTATGTCTGATTTAGACAATAGGGCTACCATTACATAAAAAAAGACATGTACTAATATAAAGACAAAAGTATTTCATCATTGGATGCGAAGATGAGTTTTGCCAAGTGCATTAATTAAATAAGTAACTCAAGAAATGAATTCTTAAGCAGAGCGAGCGAGGGGCTTGCCTACAAGAGGGTGCCCAATGTATGCAAGGTATATCTGTATTTGGTTAGGTCATCCTGAATGAATTTGAACCTACATCAACTAAGAAAAGGAAACATCAAATATTAAAATGCTGAAGGCAGCACAAGAAAACTTGCCTGTATACATACCCACAATTTAAAAGCAGATGATGCTATGCACATTCGTTAACATGTAAGAGCAGGAGCTAAGACATATATCTTGTTTACAGTGAGCACACTCTACCTGGAGCAGCGTGTGATTTTGGTGTGCAAACCTCTCAAGAACACATACTCTGCTCTTTGCTGGTTTTCCTGAAAATTGATGGCACAAGATAACATAAGGAACAAAGGGAATCAATGATCAAAATTTACTCAATATGAACTATATCAGCAGTGTCAGCAAAGCTTGGCATAAATCACTAAAACTGAATCTTAGATATGGCCTCTGCTATGTTCACATTTTTTCTATCAAACACATCAAGTCGATGAAGGCAAACAAAAAAGGCCATCATAAACTTGGCAGCTCTCGTCATTTTAGTTTTGGTGGCAGCCTGTTTTGATTCACCCATGTACCAAAGATCAGTGATCTTCAG